ATAACAATATTTTAAAAACATTTCGCAATTTGTTAAGCTTCCTAAGGCGTATTATCTTAATCATGTAATTATTTCTTACAATCCTATTGCTATTAAAAATTTAAGACTCGTAAAATATGTAAAATAAATAATAAATAAACTCGTTTTAAAAAAAGTAAAAGTGAATTATCGAAAGGAGAGACTACGAATAAGTACCTAACCAAAGTAAATTAAAATGAAATAATAATGTTAGTTTGTTTGTAGTATTTTCACGCCTGACTACTTAACCGATCATTATGCAATTTTGTACACAGGAAACCACATAGGGTAAATTTATCCAGTAAAAATATTGTCCCGAGGGATAGAAAAAATTAGTTTGATGTGATCAATTTTAGGTATTAACTACTCAATCGATCGTCATGAAATTAAAAGTAAAAAAAAACAAACAACTGAAATTTTTGCATTTTTTCGCTTATTTGTTTTTAATATATCATAGACTAAATTTTGTTTTTAATTTTTAAAAAGCTATTTCAATAGAAAATCACATTCTCTACAAAATCCTTCCACTAAAATACTCACAAATTTTGCTTCGTTTTCGAGATATATCAAATCACGTTAGGCGTGCATTTTCACCCTTACTTTTAATTTCCACACGGCGGTTTTCTCATTTTTAATGTTCAAATGAAGAGTTCAAGCAATAAAAACCCTTTAGATGCAGAAGGTTAGAAATGAGGAGGTATTAAAAAGAACAGGAGAACAGAGGTCACTGCGGAAGTCGATAAGAAATAGGCTAGATAGTTCGGTAGGACACCTTCTCAGGTCTGAAGGGCTAACTAGAGACATATTAGAAGCAGAAACAAGAGCTGAGAGCAGTAGAGGTAGACCTGGATTAGATTACTGTTTACGAAGTTTAGCTAAGGATAGGAATAAACGGAGGTGCGTATCCAACCAGTCTGGGACTGACGACCTTACGATGGCGATGATTGAAGTATGTCCAGGATGCAAAAGGTTTTACTTTAACCATCAACGACCATCGTTTCGCAGCATGGTGTACTTTTTTTTGGCACGTTATGTTGATTTTTTATGAGTTCTTGCAGTGATAATATATCGAATGTAACTGATACATAAAATAAAAATACCTACCCCTTTTCTAAACATACCATTATTTATACTTTGTAAATTATTAATTTTAAAATCTGTATTAATAAAATCTGTCTATTTTGATCAAATTCTTTTGGTTTTATTTATTAGACGCTTGATTCTTATTTATCAGGTTATTAGTTTCCATATACCTAAGTAGACAACGGAAGACTGTAATAGCTGCAACCAAACGTGCTCATTTGCCATTGACAAGAGGGGTAAGCGAAACTGTACGCATGCTTCAAAAGAAGTTCCTACTACTGCCTCATCGTAAAATACGCGATAACTGAACATCATTTGTGCGAGCAATCTAATACTGTGCAGTTTTGTCTCGGTGAGCGAAGTCGCGGGAATCCACTAGCAATTAAAGTAAATTGTGATAAGATGTACAAGGATTATATTTTTATTTTTTATAGAAATGCCCCTGTTATGTTATATCTCGGGTAAGGCATAGTAAAATAGTGTCCCAAAATGCTGATATCTCCCTTTAACGCTTGTGTTTCAATTTTCGTAATTTTTACCTGTCTTTTAAATCAATAAAAGCTTTTTTGTTTGTTTTATGTACCTACTTGCCTTTTTCATTCAAAAGTTCTCAATTCTCGTCCTACTTTAAATTTTTAATTCACTCCTAATTTTGTTACGGCCATTATTAAAAGTTGAGTAAACACTAATCAAATTATATTAACAAAAAACATACGACCTTTATTCACTTCGACGTCAACACTAGCCCGCAGTGAGTTTCTTATGCGGCCTTAACGAAAGCTAGTCCTTGTATTAATATTTAACGATAAAAATCACGACAAATTAAAAATTAATACAAGTAGGTAAATAACGTGTTGACATCTATAGAGCGTAACATGAATTACAATGCTGTAGTGCGCAGATCTGACGGCATGCAGTTTGCCATCTCGAATTAATAATATTATAAAAAAAGTATAATAATCGTGATAAAAAATTATTATTGTAAATACGTATTTGTTTAATTTAAAATTAAATACAATGAGGTTAATCTGATTAAACATAATTTACTAATATTTGATTATTCCGTTTACATCTATATGTATAATATCTATAACAAACATCTAGTAATCTTATATAAAATGTCTTAAAATACAAAATATCACCTGTTTAGCTACAGCCTTTTATAATTAAAACATTACTTCCAATATATTAATATTTCATTTTTATTCGTGCCCAAATAAAAGTAACAAATCTTGAAGATTAATCAGTTTATAAAGCGAATATGTTTAAATTATGGATCAATTATTTACTTCTTTTTGTTGCCCATAAAGGGTCTAAAGTGCTTAAAGGATCTGTATTATCTGTAGGCTTTTCTAACGGTTTTTCTTTTCCAAAATTTTCAGTTTCTGGTGCACTTTTCACTCCTAAGTCTAAAAAAACAAATGCGTATTTATTAATATTACTAATTTAACTTCAAATAATACTTACTTGTTAACTGAATATCTTGTAGATAATGTAGAAAAACCTGAAATGCAAACTTAAGATGTTCCCTATCACGCAAAATATTCTTTCGAGCGGTAGTTATACCAGAAGCAATAGCTAGTAAATCTGGTATATTCGTTGGTTTATTTAAAAATTCAATTATTGCTGTAGTTAATAAACAAAACAGACCACTTCTTCCATTACCGGAGAGGCAATGCACGAGTATTGGCTGCGAAGTCGTTCTTTGCTGCTCTTTCCAACAATTGATGCTTTCTTTCACAAAGTTCGAAAATACATGGAATGGTGGAAACAGACTAAAACATTTTCATAATATGTAAATAATAGGTCTTCTTATATAAACATGCACTAAATGAGGTAAGCGGGTGTAAATTTTTGATTTTCATTTATTGATGTGCAACATTTTACAGTGCTTATGGGATAATTTCATGAATGCGACGGAAACACGTAAACGGAAGTTGGGGATGGGAAAGCACGTGCTTGGTACAGTTGGCGCATGAATGAATAGATGTTACACATCATTATTATATAAGATTCGTATATTTTTTGTTTATTACGCTTTAATTCTCCATACATTGTTAATTCCGATAATAATACTGGGTATAAAAAGTTTAATCTTTTTTTTCACTGGTCAAATATTAAGTTAAAAAAAAAAGATACCTTCCAGGCCAAGCTGTGAATTGCATATGAATAAGATTTCTAGAATCNTAAGTATACCATTTGTACTATTTTTTGCACCTTTTACTGCTTCCGATTTGAAAGTAGGATACCATCAATGTAGACTTTAATAGGAGATATTTTAAAAATTTAATGTAGACGTTTATTTGCTTTAAAATAGGAATTTTCAAACAAAAAAGTTAATTTTATTGCTCAAAAGTTATTGGAAGGTTGTATGATATTGATAAACTGCTAGATCACAACTTAAAGGTACATTGCGTATCAAAGTAATATCCAAACAATATTTAATTTAACTTTTGTTATGTTACGTTTGTTACCATACATGCAATACAAACTAATTTAGATACTTACAGTTTCTATAATAATCAATTTACATGTACCTATAAAAATTCACCTATAAAAAACTAACGAATAACTAAAATTGTGTTTGTTTTGTCAAACAGAAAAGTTCTGAATTGAATTTGGATAATTTGTCTATTTGACAAACTGTATTTCATTCGCACTTGATGAAGACACTTATAGCACCACTTGCGTTAACCTTTCGGTTACTAAATTAGCTATGTAGGGATTAATAACTATTTTTTCATCAACTTTAGCTCTTAAATACGTTACTAACAGATGCTGCAATTGTGAAGAATTTGGTGGGGAAGTGTATTAGTAATATATGACACTTTGCAACGCATACTCATTACAAAGGTTGGTTTACTAATAGTGGATATTTTCTTTTTGAAAAAAAATCCAATTATTTACTAAAAAAACACTCCATTCTACTATACTATACTAATAACCACTATCTTTTTGTTATTTTTGTATTTTCAAATGATTCCAAAAAAATATTTGAACTTGTAATCAGTAATTGCACCTAGTTACGATAGATGCTTTACAATCAATTATCTTCAATGAAACTTTATTTTACTCTCCGAGGCATAAAACTAACGAAAATGTTTCTGTTTTTCCCACAAGCTATAAGTACATATTATTTAAAGGAAAAGTATAATAAAATTAAAATCTAAGTTTATAAATTACGAATCCAGTATTTATCCAAAAATCGTAGGTAAGACTGGAGTTACAAAAGATGTTTTTATCATATATCCCGAGTTTTATACTTATCCTAGTTCGATGGAAATTGAATACACTACGCCAACTTTCTCGGAATAGACAGACGATAGTTTAAAAAAAAATTATTCTATCTTGGTTTTATTTTCTTTCCTATTATAAAACAAATTACGTTTCTACTATTTCATTACATTCACATGTAGGTATAACGACAACTGAATTATGAAATTGATTATCCTATAGCATTACAGAGTGAAAAATAATGTGAAAATATTACTAAGTAATGTTTTCTTTTTATGTCTCCTCTAAAAAATGTTTTATTTTTAATAGATGGAGATGCTTATGCATATTGCACTTGCTTTCTTGCTTAAAAAGAAAAATTAATCTACGAAATTTCCTATCAACCTATTTCGCCTATTTCTTATTAACTTCCAGCCCTCTATTCTCCTATTCTTTCTAATCCCTATTCATTTCTAACGTTTTCTATCCACGGTATCCTCATTATTCACATTGTAATACCACATTTCGAACCTTTTCTTTTTCGCCGCATCCACCGTCAATGTTTCGCACCCGCACAGCGCCGCGCTCCAAACATACACCTCTAACAAATTTCTAAATTAACCTTTTGCGAGCATAGAAGTGACTTCTTTTTATTGAGGGCGATTCAACCCTGCGTTAATCTCTGTTTAATATTTCTAATACTCCTTCCATCCTGACTTATTTGACTTCCTAGATACCGAAAATCAGCCACTTCTATTAATTTTTCGTCTCCTATCTTTACATTCACTCTTTTCTTTATTTATTTTTTTATTAAAGGGGAAAATTAAAACATACAGTATATACCTACTCGAAATACTTATAATGGAAGGTACTCATCTTATCCAAAGTAGTAGGTACCAGATCTTATTTGAAAATGGCAAGGTGAGATTATTATTTTCAAATTTGCTACTTGCTGCAGCGTTCGTCATAATTTTCAATGAAAGTGCTTACTAATAATGTTACTTTCAAGAATTTTCTAGGCTTTTTCACTGATAGCGATTTTGAAAACAAGTAGATATATCAGCACATTAAGAGTTGAAATCAAAGGGTCCTTAAGCATTTTTGTTGTTAGATCAAATTTCAATTACCGAGGTCAAACGGTTTCTGAGAAAATCGATTGTGACAGACACACGGGCGAACGTTTCCGGTAAGTACAAAGCCTTAAGAGACAGACGTGAGGCTGTAACTACGTTTTGGAAGGAATATTCTTATATGTATTACTTTAAGAGAAAAAGGAAGAAAAATGAGAACCCTATGCAATAATTGTAAGGAAGATACTTGAAGGCAATTTTAAGAAAGAAAATAATAATAGCTGTAGTGTAAAATTTAGAATTAAAAAAAAGAGGATAAATTGCATGTGATAATGTAGAACGGAATGGACTGAAAGGTCTAAAAATGCCTAAAATATATTTTGTATTAAATATTTATTGATAAACTAATTCATACAAATCAACTAACTGCAAATATAATGAGTTACAACAAATTTAGATTTTAACATTTACACTAGATTGGTAAATATAATAATAAATCAATACACCTTTATTAATTTGGATTTACGTAAATATAACTAATTTTTCTCTTTCTTCTTTCTGTTTATTATCTGCCGTTTGCGTAAACTTTGCAATCACTGTTATCCTCCGTTAAATTTCGACCATTTATATAGATAGTAATGAAAAGACCGATGGCTTCCAGAGATTTCTGGTCTTTTCGCGCGTCAGTTATTGTATTACATCAGTATAATAATGTTGCATTTCGTAATATTTTTAATAAGTAGATTCAGTAAACGATAACTACTCATGGATAAAGAATTTTTATTAGATTTTCCTTAAATTTAGTAGTAGTTTGGTTGCTGTTTAAAATATGTAATTACGTAATTAAGCACATTAATTACGTAATTACATATTTTTTTAGTTATTAATATAGGAAAAAGTAAATCTACTAAACAATATGCCTAAGTAACTTTGAGATGACATCTTTAGGTTAATTTTAAATAAAGAGCATTTATAAAGTATTAGATAGGTATTTTAGTTTAACGAAAGTATCACTTTTAGGGTGGCAATTTTTTAAAAATTTATATGCATGAAAAACTAAATTTTCATTGCCGCTAGTAGATATCGATATTAGCAATTTAAGACCGAGTTAAATCTCGATAATGTGTAAGGCTGTTTTTAAGCCAATTTTTGCTAAATATAATTATATTACGTATATGCATAATAAACAGATATACAGTCAGACAGATTATTTGGATTTATTGGCAATGCAAAGCGTTTTCCGAACGTATACATTATACATTTTTGTCGGAATTTTTCTTTCTATATCGCACGAGATAAAATACATAATTCTCTGAAAGTGGAAAATGTATTTTGTAACCACATCAATCTGAAAATTTCTCCTGCCTCTCTGAAAATTGTTCTAAGGTATTTGTACGAATATTCCTGTACTACGTCGTATTAGTTATGAAGAATTTTAAAAAAATATTGACAAAAAAATTACCCATAAGAAATTTAAAAAAATCTTAAATAACCATAATCGTAGTATTTTTTAAACACTACATTTAACAAACTTACCCGTACGCATGTCGAAAACCTGCACAATAAAGTCTTTGTAGTCTGTCTGTAAGAAAAAAAAAATTGTTATAAACACCTACTCAAAAAAGTGCTTTAAATAAAACCTTTTTAAACAATTATTTAAATCATTTTTAACATACTAATATTTGAAAATATTTTGGAAAGATCGTGTATTAATTACGAAATTGTTATTCTTTATGTAATAAATTATACGGATTAATAATGTACAATCGAACTTCTATAAATCGAAAACTTTTTTAACCCGAATACTTTTTCCCTCGACATATATTTTGTTTTACATTTGCTTCAAAGCTTTCCACTCGAATTTCTCCATTTCTCTAACTCGAGATTCGAGTGGGTTTTTTTTATTATAAATTATCTTTTTTAATTCGAATTTCCATTAAGTTTTTTAGAGAAATTCAATCGCAGCGGTAATTAACGACTCGAGTTTTCAAGCCGACAATAAATTTTCATTGCAGTACTCGATCTTGTATTATGGAAAATAGTAAAAAAGCAGCTAGGTTACGATCACAAAAGTAAAAAAAGACAAGAACGGAGTATTTATATTGTTTGATCTGAGATTGCAAGGGTAATATAAGTTGATGAGAAACAAAAATTAAAAAGTGTGACGGTAAAACAGAAATTTTCCTGAACTCGAACACAACCGCTTGCATTTAAGTGGTTCGATATTCGAGTTAGAGAAGTTTTATCGTAACACAATTTTGTGTTCCATTTAATTCAAACTGAAATATACGAGAGTTGAGAAACTAGGGTTCCCCACAGGGTGTGGAATTGGCAAGTAAATAAACTAAAAAGAGAAACTTCCAAAATTACTATAAATAACTTTTGAAAAAAATTGATAGGAACATTATTTGTGATCGACTGACGTTGATAAGACCTGCAATTAAAGTGGGTGAAACACATAACCGTTCTTTTAATTGCTACCATATCAATTGCATAAGTTCAATCTTTTCATATTATTTTTATTAATATTTATCCGAAAATCCATGAAATATAATGCTAAAGCGCTTATGAAAATAGAATATAATATATACTTTTTTATTAATAAGACTGCAAGTTTCGATTTATATTTCTAGAGGTGTCTCACGGTAAATTACATAAATGTTCTTAAATATATATGCGGAAAAAGACATACACTTGTTCATACAATTTTGCAATTCTTGTTTACAAATAAACAAATATGTGGAGAGGATCTTTAATTCTAACGTTTTGGTAAAATGTAGGACCAACAACATTCCCGTAATTTTTCCCATCTTAATTCAAATAGCAAAACAATACGTTTTGAAGATACGCGTCACTTTTTAAATTGATCTTAATCGATTTTAATTAATGCGAACTTCTCAACCCGAGCGGCTTAACATGTCCGTATGCACGGAGTAAATTTAAGAAGGATTTGTTTGGTTTTATCTGGTTTTTACCGACATTTAGACGAATATAAAGGACAATTATAACATACGATACAATTTTTCTTGAAATAATAAG